TGGCCATAATTGATATAAATAGTTAATAAGGTCAAGACAGAAATCATTCAATATCTTAGAAATGAGGATGACAATTAGATAAAAAATAATAAATTAAACATTAGATAATACACATTGCGCAACAATGTCAAAAATAAGAATACCATGCTACAAAACTAAATGGTTTAAATAGTCCAGTACAAAATATTAGATTGGATAGAAATGAGTTGTCTGGATTGTAAATGAGTAAAAATTATCATTATAAATACTATATTCCCATAATTAAAAGTATGGTAGCAGGTGATTTCAATGGAAATGTGGTATAATATGGACTGATATATAATAATACCAAATGACAAGAATCATCTCCCAAGGAATAAGCGGCAGAAATGGAGGGGCTGTTGTTGCTGCCGGTCAATGAGCCCACAAGACAGAGGGAAGAGGCTGTGTTACTAGTGCTGCTGCTCGTGGTACTCGTTACAGAAGATGCTTTGTTGGCTACCTCAGTCACCGCAGTTGAGAGGTGACTTGAAATTGAAATCTCACTAGATGTACTTGGGTCCGCACCTCCACAACTTATCGTATCAGAGCTGGTAGCACAGGTAGACGTCTGGATGTGGTTAGCAAGCCTATCACGATTCAGCTTACTAGTTGAACTATGTGATATATCTTCGATGCCGGTGCTGACTGAATTGGAGCAAGAAACGCTGTTTGTGCCATTGTCATCAGAATGGGTGATGCTGTTGGCACAAATGGGCGTCAGACAACTATTAGTTGGAGAAGTGATAGTGGAAAGCAGCGGATGAACCGCATCTGAAAGAGAAGCGATGAGTGCAAGGAACTGATAATTGTAAAAGAACCAGTATAGATAAGAAACTAGTGATATAATCGTAGATAAGAAGATTGGTAAGAGGAAAGAAAAAGTTTAAAGAACATAACACCTGATGTATGTTCAAAATCAGTCTTACATTTTCAAAAAAGGAATCTTGCAAAAAAAGATGAAGCTCATATATAACCGTTCACCATAAGATGCACAGTCGGATAGGACCAACGGCATTTCTATTATTGGTTAATTATTTTAGGCCTATGTATACTCAAAAGTGCATCTGCAAGATGTACCGAAGTTTCAACTTCAAATAAGTTTATTTAGGCTAAATATGGCATTTGGTCAAGTCTTAATTCATTAATGGTCATTGATTGACCTTGTGGTTGCATCGTATTCGTAATTCTAGACTTTGGAGAAAATACCACGAAGCAAGTCCTCAATAATTATTACCATTTGTACTTGCAATATCAAACCGATTAAGAGTTACATTCATACAACTTGTAGTCGTCATTATCAAGGAGCATAGCCATCCTGAGCACCTACCATCACTGAAAAGTAAGCAATATTCTTGAAATTTTTTGTATAAGAATAAATTACTATTCACGGCGGTGAATCCAAAGTGAACACTTTAATTCAGACGCCGTTTATCAGAACAACAGATCGAGCAAATTAGGAAGTATAGACGAGTCCTAGCAATCAGACATAGGAACATGACATTAGCCAAAGGGATTAATTATGGTTGTTACTGACTTCATTTAGCTAGCTCTAAGTTTGATGGCGCTCAATAATGATGCCAACCAAACGGATATGAATACCCTCGATCAAAGGTACGATACTAAAAAAAGGCAAAAATGGAAGAGGCAGTGTAAGCTTCCAAAAATGAACAAGCCTCGGGAATGGGCTTAGACTAGGACAATTAATACTTCGAAAAAATTGCGAATTGAAAACTGTTATTTTGAATAAAATACTAAATTTCAGGAAAAATTAAAATACCAGTGCCATGGTTAGCTTAAAATTTTTGGAAAGGTCAATATGTAATTATATCTTATTATAAAGAATGTATAACGATGATTTAAGCCATCAGGTACAAACGGCTCTTTGAGATTTGAGC